TGCCTCTAGAATAAAATATAAATGCTTCTGGGTTTATAGCTCTTCATGACCTAGCCCTTTCCTACCTTTCCAGTCTTCTGACACATTCCTCCCTTCCACGTACTCTGCAATCCAATCATACTTGTGTACTCAATATTCTGTACACACAATATCCCATATCTCCTCCTCTCTCTTTGTGGAATACACTCCTTCCTCACCTTCACCTCTTGGAATCCCTGATTTCCTTCATGATTCAGCTCAAGCTCTATCTCCTACATTATACCTTTCTTGATCTCTCCCCAGCCCCAACTGCTAGTGCCTTCCCTCTCAAAACTACCTTATATTCATTTTGCATATACTCTGTATGTACTTATATGCAAATATCCTGCATGAACTTAACATTTGTACAAGTTGTCTCCTCGATTAGAATATTTGCTCCATGGCAACAGCCAATGTTGGAGGAATTGTGGAAAGATAGGCATATGAATACACTGTTGGTGGAGCTGTGAAATGATAAAACCATTTTGGAAAGCAATTCAGAATTATGTTAATAAAGTGACTTTTTTAAAGTGCATATTTTGAACTAGAGACTCCATTACTGAGCTTATGCCTCAAGGAAGTTATTGGTAAGAAAAAAGTCATCCCATTCCAAAATATTTATAGCAACACTTTTTATGATAGCTAAGAATTGGAAACAAAGCAGATGCCCAACAATTGGGGAATGGCTAAATAAATGTGGTATACGATGTCATGGAATATTACTGTGCTATAAGAAATGATGTGTGTGGAACTATGCCCAAAGGGCTATAAAAATGTGCATACCCTTTGACCCAGCAATACCCAAAGAGATCATACAAATGGCAAAAGGACCCACATGTACAAAAATATTCATAGCAGCTCTTTTTGTGGTGGCAAAGAATTGGAAATTGAGAGGATGCCCATCAATTGGGGAATGGCTGAGCAAGTTGTGGTATATGAAATAATGGAATACTATTGTGCTATAAGAAATGATGAACAGGCTGACTTCAGAAAAACCTGGAAAGACTTGTATGGTCTGATGCTGAGTGAAGTGACCAGAACCAGGAGAATGTTGTACACAATAACAGCCATGTTGTGCGATGACTAATGTTGATAAACTTAACCCTTCTCAGCAATACAAGGATCTAAGACATCTCCAGAGGCCTGGAAAATGCTATCCACATCCAAAGAAAGAACTATGGAAGTTGAATTGCTATTTTTTTTCTCTTCCGTTGAGTTTTGTTTCCTCTTTCTGATGGTTCTTCCTATTGGTTTTAATTTTTACTTACAGCATCACTAATGTGAAAATATGTTTAATAGGAATCAAATGTATAGCCTATATCAGATTGTGCACTGTCTTGGGGAGGGTGGTGGGAAGGAAGAGGGAGAAAAATTTTCAACTCAAAAGCATATGGAAGTGATTGTTGATAAATCAAAATAAATTAATAAAATAAATTTAAAAAAAAGAAATTATGTATGTTTATGATTACAGAGAAAGCATGGAAAGATCTATACAAACTGATGCAGAGTGAAGTAAGCAGAGCCAAGAAAACAATATGCACATTAACTACAACAATGCAAATGGAAAGAACCCCACAGCAAAAAATCAAAAGGGAGTATAACCAAATTATAAAGATCAAGTAGGACTCTAATGAAGAGCTATGAGAAGACACCCCCAACCCACCCCTTTGTGGAGGTGGGAGGCCTATGGGTTTGTGCAGTGCACGTGCTTTTGGCCTTTTTCAATGTTATTAATCAGCTGTGATCACTTTTTCTTTCTCCTTAGAAAAGTACTATTTGTCATATGGAATGGCTTTTAGGAGGTGGTGGGAGAAAGATGCATGGGCTACTACGGTGATGTAAGAAACAAAATATATTTTTTAAAAATTCTTTTTAAAAAATGAGTATTAGCTCCTTGGGGACAGGGCCTGTTTCCATTCTTTTCTTTGTATTCCCAGGTCTTAGCACAATGCCTAGTGCACAGTAAGCACTTGGTGAGTTTTGTTGACTGGCTGAGTGATTGACAGGATAGGCAATGTTCCATACCTATAGTCCTCCCACCTCTGCTAAGAGAGGGAGGAGCATTTCCAAGACGACATTTTCATCTCTTTCACTGTCAGTGGCAGAGACAATTGCAATTGCAGAATTGAGTTCAATCCCCTTTGAGCAGTAAAGTATTACTGACCAGGCTAGCAGTAGATACTGTGGCAAATTTAATTCCTCATGGAGGCATAGTGGAAAGAACACAAGACTTGGAACGAGACACTTTGGTTTCAAGTCCCAGCTCTGCTACTTACTAGCTGTATGACCTTGGATAAGTCTTTTCCCCTTCACAGAATCAAATTCCTTACATGTAAACTGTGTTCTGCAGCATAAGGCTTACTTAGTCCTTGGTCCCCAAGGCCCCTTCTGACTCTAACATCCTTCAGTAAGTCAGTGAGTAACACAACCAGGATAACAAGGACTGGATGAGTGGTGGACTCAGTTTCCTCTTTATTAGCTTCACTCATCATCAAAGGGCAGAAAGCCAAATACTATGCCATGTTCAATATGAAAGGTGGGTAAAAAAAATTCTTCTGAATCAATTTCATCAATAGCATCAGGGTGGGGAAAAGAGCCCTTGGTCATTGAACACACTGCAGTCCAAGAGTGAAATGCCTCTAAGCTCACTTTCTATCTCTACCACAAGCATGAAACTAAACTTGGGGCAGTTTATCTTAGCTGAAATCTGTATATGTTGGCATGACAAGCACAGCCTGCTTTCTTACACTCTACTCTCAGAAACTATGTCAGAAAAAAACATGAAAAAATGGTTCCCGTTAGCCTCCAGATAAGTTTTGGTAAAGCATTCTCTAAAAGACAAATGGTTAAAGGATTTGAACGAATAGTTACCAAAAGAAGTATTGTAAGAATGTTCCAAGCCACTAATACTAAGAAAAACACAAATTAGAACAACTCTGAGGTTTCACCTCTCATAAAGTAAATTGGTAAGGATAATAAAAGATGAAAACAGTCAGTGTTGGAGGGACTGCAGAAAGACAGGCACACTAACAGCCTGTGGTTGAAAGTGTGAACTGATCTAACCATTCTGGAAACCATTTGAATGATTTAAGAAAAATTCCTTTTAAAAAAGAGGAAATGACCTATTTGTACAAAAATATTGTGGTAGCTAAGAATTAAAAATTGAGGGGATGCCCATCAATTGGGGCATGGCTGAACAAGTTGTGGTATATATGAATGTAATGGAATACTATTGTGTTATGAGAAATGATGAACAGGCAGACTTCAGAAAAACCTGAGAAGACTTGTATGGACCGATGCTGAGTGAAGTGAGCAGAACCAGGAGAACGTTGTACACAGTAACAGCAATACCATATGATGATCAACTGTAAATGACCTGGCTATTCTCAATAATACAATGATCCAAGACAATCCCAAAGGACTCATTATGAAAAATGCCATCCACCTCCAGAGAAAGAACTGATGTTGTCTGAATACAGACTGAAGCACACTGCTTTTTCCTTCCTTCCTTCCTCCCTTCTTTCTTTCTTTCTTTCTTTCTTTATTTATTTCTTTCTTTCTTTCTTTCTGTCTGTCTTCTTGTACAAAATTACTAATATGGAAATGTTTTACATGATTACACATATATGACTTATATCAGATTGCTTACTGTTTCAGGGAGTGGGGAGGGGAGGGAGGGAGGGATAGAATTTGGAACTCAAAACTTAAAAAAAACCAACTAATATTAAAATTTTTTTTGACATGTAATTGGGGGGAAAATAAAATATTATATAAAAAAAAGTGACTAAACTATATACGACCTCGAGATCCCACTCCTAGTTTTATATGTCAGTGAGGTCAAAGTCATAAAAATGAAGGTCTCATATGTACCAAAACATTCATAGCAGCTCTTTTATAGAAGCAAAGAATTGGAAACAAAGTAGATGCCCATTGGGGCAGCTAGATGGTGCAGTGGATAGAGCACTGGCCCTGAAGAAAGGAGAACCTGAGTTCAAATCCGGCCTCAGACCAAACACTTGACACATACTAGCTGTGTGACCCTGGGCAAGTCACTTAACCCCAAATGCCTCAAAAGTAAAAACAAAACAAAACAAAATAGATGCCCATTAATTGGGAGTGACTGAACAAACTATGATAAATGCACTATGATAAATGAAACATTACTGCAAAAGAGAAATGACAAAAGTGAGACATTTAGAGAAATATGGGAAGATTTATATGAAATGATGCAGGATGAAGTCTGCAGAACCAGTAAAATGGCATACATAATGACTTACAAAAATGTAAATGAAAAGAACAATAAGACAAAGCCAAATGCCATATAATTATGATGCCCAATCTTGGTCCTAGAGATGAAAAAAAATGCATTCCCTTCTCTTCATGTCTTTTCACTTACATATCCTTATATGTAGAATACTGTGTTGGGTATTTTTTCTTAACTGTTTTCCTTTGTTACAAGGAAAAAGTCACTGGGAGGAAAAGGTAGGAGACAGATCCAGGAATGGGGGAAGAGGTATATCCAGAAATGACTGTATTATAAAAACAAAAGGTATCAATAATATGTATGTATGTGTGTCTGTGTATATGTACACATATATAATATGATATATCATATACATCTATATATTATATACATATATATGTATAGATAGATGATAGATAGATAGATAGATAGATAGATAGATAGATAGATAGATAGATAGATAGATAGACAGATAACTTTTAAATTTGGTTAAGCCCAAGTCAGCAATTTTCCCTTATTACCACCAGGACGCACTCATACATCAATAAGATGAAATGCTTGGAGAAAGGTGTGTTTCAACTATTTTAGAAATAGGGTAAACTAAGGAATGAAAAGTTTAAAGTAGTTAGAAATGAAAGGGCAGGAGTTTTTAGGCACCATGGGAGGGATACATCAGCAAAAGGTAGAATGCCATGATATGGGGATTGCAAAACCTGTCCTGAAGCCGGAGGTTTCTTACCTGATAGGCGCTGTGTGATGTCACACATTGCTCGGCCACTCAAGAAACAAAGTCGACCAGCAAATGCTTGCAGCAGGGAAAAGTTGTCTGAATGGGATAAATTGAAATAGTGACAATATAGACATTTCTTGTGTTTCTGGAGCACTTTATCCCCAGGGTGTAACATACCCACTAATAGAAAAGGACACTGACTGAAAAACCAAAGGGATTCTTTCAGGTCAGTAAGGTAGCTCTAATACAATGAAGTGGAAATTTACCACATAGGATCACAGTAGCGAGAGGAAATTGGTAGCACAGTCACTCTCTACTGAAAATCACCAAGTCACAGTCACTCTCTATGACAACCTATGCAGGTCACCTAGGAGATAGCTAGAGTAGGTATTATTCAATCCATTTTATAGACTGAGCCTATGCAATTCACCTTTATATGTAATTCTGAACCTGGAATGTGGAGGTGACTATACATGCCATCTAGTACAACCCCCTTCAGGGCAGCTTGGAAACATAGTGGATAGGGGGCAGCTAGGTGGCACAGTGGATAGAGCATTGGCTCTGGATTCAGGAGGACCTGAGTTCAAATACGACCTCATATACATAACACTTATTAGCTGTGTGACCCTGGGCAAGTCACTTAACCCCACTGCCTAACTAAAAAAAAAAAAAGAAACATAGTTGATAGAACTCTGGACCCAAAAGACTCCAGAAGACCTGAGTTCAAATTCTATCTCAAACACTTTTTAGCTGTGTGACTCTGGGCAAATCACTTAATCTCTCTGAGCCTCAGTTTCCTCATATGTAAAATGAGGGGATTGGACTTGATAGATCCCTTCCAGCTCTAAATCTAGGATCTTATGAATAATTTTCAAAAACTCTATGATCATCTTAAAGATGAAAAAAAATTGAGGCCAAAAAATTGACAGGAAGAAAAAAAAGAAATAAGCACTTATTAAGCACCTAATACATGCCAGGCACCATGCTAAGTGCTTTACAAATGTTATCTCATTCCATCCTTACAACCACCCTGAAAAGTAAGTGCTATTACTATTCCCATTTTACAGTTGAGGATACTGAGGAAGGCAGAGGTTAAGTGACTTGCCCAGGGTCACATAGCTAGTTAAATATCTGAGGCTGCATTTGAACTCAGGTCTTCCTAACTCCAGGCCCAAAGAACCACCTAGCTGCCTCTAAGTCACCAGAGGAGCCTCAAAGAAGTCACTCAGCAGGTTAGCTCTAGACTGAGAATTTTCTAATTCAGTTCTTCTGACCTCTAATTCCTTCCCCATGATATTATATTGTGTCCCTTTAGCTGCCTCAGATTAAATTTTGTCTCGTGTGTAAGAAGCTCCCTAAAGTCAGGGATCATGACCAGCTAAGTCTTGGAAATTTCTCTCTGTCTCTGTCTCTCTCTCTCTCCCTCTGGTCCTGGCCCAGATGCCTAGGGCTTTTTCAGTGCTGCTATCTCCTATAGTACAGAAAGGAGAACAGGCTGAACTCTTTCACATGAAGCTATTATTAGTGTTACCTCTGGAAAGCACTTTATAAAGAAAGTACAGTATAAAAGGGCATCAGAGAAGGAGAAATGATCAACCCAAAGGATGATGAAATTATAGGCACTGGTGGGAGAAATCTCCTATTATTCCACCTGTAAGTAAACTCAGCCCCAGCAGGAACCACACCCATTTTTTAAAATTTAAATTCAATTTCATGCCACATTTCCTAAATACCTTCTGTGTACCAGCCACTGTGTTAGGTACTGGAGACACAAAGATGGAAACAACAGTATGTCCCCTATAGTCAAGGAGAAATCCAGATAGGCTACTATAAGAACAACGAAGAATAAAGGGCCCCTCCTAGGTGGATGAGGAAAATGAAGGAAGGGGGTATGTCACATCATCATGCCTAGCAGTTTCTTGAACCCACCAGCATTGGTTAAATAAATATTAACTGATGTGTTGAATTTAGTAGCAACTTCATCATCCCTACACTACAATTAGTTCCCCCTTGGGCATCAGTTAAACCAAAGTAGTAAAGCCTGATTCTTACTTTCCTCATGTTAAGGCAGCTACTTAGAAATAGATCTTACATAAAAACCACACCTAGTCCCACAGAGGGTGAGGAAGGTTCCTCATCGGTGGCTTGTTAGCTTGAAGTTGGCCCTGGTGCAATACAAAAGGCTGGGTTCAAATCCTGACGCCACTATTTTTTGTTGATGTGACAGTGGGACAGGTCACTTTACCTTGCTCAGTCCCAGTTTCTCCACCTGTAAAATGAGGAGGCTGGGTTTGATGACTCCCAAATCCTAAAATCACCTTTAAGTACACACAGCTGGAATGTTCCTGTACCACCTTTCCGAATGTCGACATGAATATTGGATGGCCACACCCTGACCCCAGGATTTTGCAGAAACACTTTGACAGCTTCAATGAATAGAAGGTAGGACAAGGAAGCCGCCCTTTGCTTTCAGCAAAGGTGGAGCTAAAGAGCATGTCTGCACCTGCGGGTGAGTTGCAAGGGAAATGAGATGTTATAACAAGCCCAAACCAAGGAAGCTTTCTCTCAATCTGAATCATCTGGCCTTCTTCAGGGCTGAATTCCTTTTATCAAGGGTATAAAGACTTGGGACCTTATCCAGGGAATGTGCAAAAAGCATTGAACTGGAAGGTAAGAGACCTAAGTTTTAGTCAAAAGTCACTAAAAAAACACTAAAGAACTGTGTTAACCTGGAAAAAAGCCACTTTTTCTCTGTGTGTCTCAGTTTCCTCATCTGTAAAACAGGTAGAATCAGTGGTATGCTGGTAAATGTTTAACAACTGGCTAGGGGTGGGGAGAGTATTATAACACACAACACACTTTTAAGTTTAATCTACACTATTAACATTTTCTTTAAGTCTAGACAATCAACAAACAATGAACCAAACCCTGATTTGTGGCATTTGCCAATTTACGATGGGTAAATGCTTACACTGAAAATTTAACGACTGGCTCTCCAGCAGGTTCAGCTTGGCTCCAGTACACTCCTGGGTATGATATTTATGCTCATATTTCAATACTTCATCCAATCTATGACGTCTTCAATGTTGGCTCCTCTCTGCAATAGTAGAATCACATCTCACCCCAGCCTCCTTATCCAGCGCAACCTGTTCATATTTTCCCACAAATCCTCCTCAAGAGGTCCAACCACTGGGTCTTTTTGAATCTCAAGTCATATGGTTACCAAAGTTACATGTGAGCTGCTGTCCTTCGTGCTTGGCTGCATGATTGGTCCATCTCCTTTTCCAGAAAAACATTTCTTTAATTCTATTTTTCCCATATAATTCATTACTATTATGTGCTGTAGTCCATTTACATCCACCATGTATCTCTTCACCACCTTTTGGATCACTCGCCATCAAAATTCTCAGAGACTGTGGCATTCCACTATTTGTAGCCATTCAATGTCACCAGAAGAATATTTATTTAAGTTTACAAGATGGGTTTCTGTTTTGAGGAGCTTGGAATCACTGAAAGCAATGCCCCATTTTTTAAAAATACACTCCAGCATGTCCACTTGCTCCCATTAAATTCTAGGCCTCGTTCACTATCCATCTGCAACTTAATGAGCTATTTACCTAGTCAACTGGCATTCTTCATTTACTTGGTTTTTCTTGCATGCATAGTTAGGCCAAACATTTTTGAGTCATCATGGGTCGTGTGGATGAGACACTGTCATGTTTCAGTGCCCAATGCAATTTGCACAAAGTCAGCCACCGACAGGAGCGGTATCAAACTCAAACAGAGAAGGACCCTTGAAGGCTGAATAGTGACTTAGAAAACTACAAATTAACATTATCTATGTTGTGTTGTATTTTTATTTACTTTTGGTAAACATTTCCTAATTATATTTTAGGGCAGGAATTTGACAATTCTGAACCAGAAGACTTCTCACCATATATAGAATCAGCCTCTTCCACTTGGGACTCTGCATTTGACATCTTCCATGTCGGTAGTAAACATCTTCGATGGCTATATGTCTCCCTGTTTTATGATTTCTTTTATATTAACAATCAGAGAGTCACTCTATTATTCAATATTTCAAAGAATCTTGTATGATTTTGACACATACTTGTGAGACACCTTTGGAAGAGAGACTTTACAACGGCGTTTTGCTCTATTGAGTCAAATTATTTTTTATAAAAAACAAACAAGCAGGATAGTGGTATCTTGTATTATCGATATTCTTTAGTCAATTTGTGACTATAAAGAGTATCACTTGAAAAAGGCTAACTGTCCCTTCTCATGTTTTTATTAAGTATTTCCTCAATACATAAGTAGCTTATTCTCATAAAAAATTTTGTAGAGAGAGATGAAAAAGCAAGCATATAGTTTGGTAGGTACGTCTATCTTTTTTAAAAATTTTTTTGGTAGTAATAACATCCATGACTTTTTTTTTTTGGCTTGATGTCTTCCTTTTTTCCAATATCTTAAGAATTACTCCCTGAGTAACATCAAAAACAGCACTTGGCATATAGTAGGCGCTTAATAATAAATCAATAAACAATTGACTGATTGAAACCTCTAGCACACAGCTTCTTTTCATATATTTGGGTCTAGTCCAGCTACCATTTGCTTCTTTGTTTCCTTTAGTGCCATTTCTATTTTCTCACACAGGATACCACACACTGCGATATTAGAGTTTAAATGTAGTTATCTACTGTCGCTGATGGAGAAAACACTTTGCTGGAGAAATCAAAATGGATCTTTCCCATATTTTATCTCTTCATTATCTTCTTCGCAGTTCCATCATTAAATATTCTTGGTATGATTCGGCTTAATTGGGTGTCATGTCAAGCTTTCTATGAATTCATTTTTCCTTCCATTGCTTCTCATTGTTTAATAAGATGATACTACTCTGCTCATAATCTACCTTGGTAAGATTTTCTTGCCCTTGGTCACTATCTATCACCACTTGGCTTGAAGATCAGGTGTTTGCTGGCTGAAATAATTTCTAGGGTCTTCTGTCTTCATAACTGTGGAGATTGCTTTATGTCAAGTAAGCATAAGAAATCATGACAGCCCACATCAATGACTGTTCCTTTATCCATTTCCTA